TGAGAACCGTACCACAGTTTAGTGACCGAAAAAGTAGGACATAATAACAGGAACAACAACAAATTATTTCATCAATCACAAACCTAAACAAAGTTGCGTCAAGACGAAATGATAAAAACTAGTTATTTATAAATAGCCGTTCGTAAATAATTGAAGAACACTCCTTAGTAAAAGATTAATAAAGAAAAAATAGGAGCACTTTGTCTTTGACAAAACAAATTTTAACCAAATTATAAACTGTATCCAAGACATTCTTCGAAATCAAAGGTTTTTGTCTCACTCCTCAGATCGCTTTGCAAAGTGACGGAGCTATGCAATTTTTGATAAATGAATTAATCAAGAGAATTACTAATAGTCCGTCATGGAACGTTCGTCTAGAGTCAGCTTAAACAGGGTTTAATCGAATGCAACCCTGTAAATGCCGCAAAAGCAGCAAACCGGTTTGGAATTCTCCGTGGCAGCCTCCGTTTCGTGAAGTACACTCATGAAATGCGATGGGATAATAAACTAAATAAGGTAAAACTTGATAAATACAGTTATGGATGAAAGTTAAAAAAAAAAAGAACGTGCAAACTTATCTTTTCCTCCCTTGTGTCCGAACATTTTGTACGCTCAAAGACAGGAAGGCGATTGATGAGCTGAAAACCCCGCTGAAACAACAAGGCCGGTTGACCGTCTACAATTTTAAAATTTTTGTTAACCTAGAAACAATTGTTTACAAACCTGTCTCAAAGCCAATCAAGCCGCTGAACGCCGGGGTGTCCTAAAGCACCTCAATTATCTCTCGGCTGGCAGCACTCGGCGACTTTAGAGGCCGACCACCCCCAGTTACCTTGATCTCCCTCTTAAATTCTGGAAATTCTTTCTTGGCGATGCTATGGAGATTTTTCCACTTGTCTTTTACCTCCATAACCGTTCGCTTCGCTGTTCCGACCGCATTTAACGCTTGGGTTATTTCATCCCAGAGCATTTGTTTCTTTTTGTTGGTCACAGCATTCGTTAATTTGGACTGGATTAGGTCCAGATTTATTTTGACATTATCGGTTAATGACTTCAATCTCATAAACTGAAAAATTCTGTTTTCTTTTTCTATCTTTCGTTTGGTTTCCATTTCCATGTGAACTCTCACTTTCCGCCATCTTTTCCCTCCAATTTTTTTTTTCTTCGCGAGTAGCCGCGTAGCTCCTAATAACCGGTTTGACTGGTTTAATCTCAGCTTAATCGTGGGATAGTTAATCGAGGGATAAATCTGCTTTGAGGAACGTTATTTTAAACCTAGATTAGCTGTCCTTGGGATAAGAAATTTAATCGTGGATTAACCTCTAATCGAGGGATAATTTAATCGGCTTTCGAACAACCGGGGCCTGGGCTGTAGAATCCAACAAGTCATGGAAATGCAAGACCTGCAATAAAAAAACCTTTGAAAATGGAAACTGAACATTCCACTTCTGTTTAAGTCGTCTTCCGGTTACTGTAGAACTGCTCTAATTTGACTTTCAAAAACTTTTAAATAGGCTTCCTGAGAGAGTGTTCAGTCAGTAAAGAAATGATAGGCACAAATGATGCAGTTAGTGACAAAGGATTTTTTTTTACAGCATTTTTATTCACTTTGTATCCCTATAGTTTTATATTTACAGATTTCCTGTCCAAATTGTGATTATAATGTTAATTTAGCGTGCAGGTCCACATCAGGACTTATTGTCTTGCCTATTTTAGTAAACTGCCTTACCAAGTAAACTTCTTGTTGTTGTTGTTGTTGTTGTTTGCAGCTTGGACTTCAAGATTTCCGATGAGAAACAGACTGAAGAAAAAACTTTTGGAATCTAGAATAAACTAGCGGTAGCCACAACTTCTTTTCAGAGATAACTGTTATGTAATACATGATCTTGTAAGACTGGTAAACGTAGCCGGAATTGCTGGATAAACGTACATCGAAAATTTCCGATAAATGAGATGCAACATCTTCATTGCCTGCCATTGCCCAAATATACTCCACTAAAGAAACTAAGACATCAGATTATTGTTTTCTGGTGAATTTGAAAAAGAGCGCGAAATATTTTCCAATGCCGGAACCGGAAACCGATTTTGGGATGGCACAAGGGCGGTTTGAGCTATGGAAACAAAACAAATCGTCGTACAGCTCCTCGTTTCCATAGCTGAAACCGCCCTTGAGGTTTAGTGTCTTTGATTTCTTTTTTTATCGGCGAAAATAAACCTTAACCGACAGAAGTATGCTGCATGTAAAGTTTACTAAGCCAGATGTTTCCTCTTAACTCAAAACACAGGCTTAAAATTTGTTCACAGCAAGAACAGGGACCGTTCGGAGTCGTACATCGTCGGTAGTTTGGCGCTAATTATATTCCAGTGATTTAATTTCATTCCCAGGCACCTCACGTCCAAGGGCGCTTTGAGCTATGGAAACAAAGCAAATCCGTTGTACAGCTACTCGTTCCATAGCTTAAACCACCCTTGAGGTTTAGTGTCTTTGATTTCTTTTTTTATCGACGAAAATAAACCTTAAGCGACAGAACTATGCTGGACGTGATGTTTACTGAGCCAGATGTTTTCTCTTGACTCAATACACACACGAAGTGGACTTAAAGTTTGTGCCTAGCAAGAACAAGGACTGTTCGGAGTCATAAATCGTCGGTAGTTCGGCGCTAATTATATTCCAGTAATTTAATTTCATTCCCAGGCACCTCACGTCCAAGGGCACTTTGAGATATGGAAACAAGTCTTTACCGTTCTCTTGTCGATCGTCCCATTGTTCTCGCGCAGCGCAGAATTCTGCGCCAGAACAATGGTTGACCAAATTTGGAGGATTTCGATGGCCTGACTCTTGTAAGACAGACGATCGACTTTCGGCAAGCGCACATTTTCCAAGAATCTACCCGAACCGAAGCGAAGAACGACAGCCAAAAAATAAAAAAAAAGAAAAGACAAGAAAGACCAAAAAATTTAAAAAAAGGAGAGAAAGAGCCGCCTTGAGGGTAAACATATTTCAACTTCTTCTTTAATTAACTCCCAGAACTGATTAACCTGTTATTTCTCCCTATAATATTCATGCATGATCCAATAAACAGGTAATGACAATACTCAAACTCATCAGGTAGATGTTACCTTGATCGAACACCCAATTCTCATAACCTATATACAAGGAAATGTGTGGCAGCTAGAGGGGAGAATTGACAATCACATCTTGGGAGTTTCAGGGTCAAGAGCGTGTCATCAGCATCTCTTCCTCGTCTCCTGTTCTCGCAGGTGATTTGTTTGTCATTCAGAACCCGCCGGGCCGAAAGTTACATTTGAAGTCCCCCTCGCATGAGAACCTACTTAGACTGAAATTTCAAGGCAGGTTCTCATCGGTGGAGTTGCTGTGAAAGTGTCCATGTCCTCACCCTGACTATGACTACTGTCTGCCATACAATTCTTTAATGAAAGTTTAATGATATATCACAATATTACAAAAATATGCACTGCCCGCAGTTAGCAAAGGCTATTCGAGGCGGGCAGTGTTGAATACGTATATTAC